CAAACGAGATTTTAACAGAACAGTTAGTTCAACATTCTCATTGTTGTGCTTAGAATGATAATATGGGCTAAATGATTGAACCATCTACTTTAGAGAACTTAAAACCATCATCAAAAACACTATCCATCATTTCCCAATCCAAATAGAGTAGGGGTTTGGAGGACATGGAGAAAAACAGGAGATCTGAGTTGGATAAAGGGAACTATCACTTATTTAGACTTACTTGACCAAAGTAAGGAGAAAAGCTATTCAAAAGTCCTTCTATGTGAAAGCTAAAATGGCTTACTTATCTGGAGGCCATGAGGACAAATATTCAACGATAACATTGGGTGATGGTCGCGGTAAATCGTGAACCGACAGAAGTAGGAAATATGGACCATTAGTTTCTCACCCAGTGGCTAACTCAAAAATAAGGTACTGAGCACAGTACCTGAAGGTCCTCGGTTCGATCCCTGGCGAGGCAGGGCAATGGGTGCGCACTGATTAGGATTCGCATACTAGGACAAAACAGCTGTTCAATGCTCCCAAGTTTCCAATGTTCCTCTGACTAATGTCAGTCCATGATGAATATATATATATATATATATATATATATATATATATATATATATATATATATATATATAGGACTCATTAGGATAAGATGTGAATGCTTCAGCGATTTCATTTGCCTTTCTCGTGACCGCAAAGCTAGATACTCAAAAACAGACTAGCTTAGTTACCTAGCGGTACACCCGTTACAACTATCCATAGGAGCAGGTGAATCGGTGAAAGCATACTGAAGAGGAAAAATAATAACGACATCATCTGTATCCTTTACATCATCAATTGGAGGATTCTCATAAACGAACAGAAATCTACCCAATCTTCTGCATATTCATGCAGTAATTAATGAACCATACCTATTACGTGAGGGCTAATATTACTACCTGGCTGTCCAGGTGAAGCGGGGTTTGAACCCGTCGCCCATCGGATGGAAGTTGAGTGTCTAGACGAAATAAGCAACAGTTTCACTATTCCTATAATCGATGAATGCAAAATCATGCATACTGAAAACTGAGGAGGATTTGGCAGGAAACAATATCGCCAGCTTACGCTCTCTGTTAGTGTGGAGAATTTTAACGATGTCAACGTAAACTTTGGAGACTGACCATAGAAATTCAAGAAATATTACTACTTTACTATAAGTTCTCTGTTTGGTAAATTGAATGAACAGACAAACCAGGCGAAACGAAACGAAATACCAAAATTTTCTTTAGAAAATACTGTACATATTCCTTTTATTTTGTATAGCTTAGTATATTAACTTCTTGGGATGCTTTGATCACATTCGTTGGTAGAGAAAACTACACAACACGTTAGAATCTCCCCATTTATAGCTATTCAGACAAAATATTTCTCCATTGAGTGTGATACACATATTGCACACAAAATCATTAACTCAATTTGGGGATTTGTGGGGATTTATTAATTTCAAGTTAGTATTTGTCATGGACTGAAATCAATTGGAGGAACATTGGATAGCTGTTTCGTCGTAGTAAGGGACTCCCCAGCAGTGCAAACCTATGACCTCACCCCGCCACGGATCAAACCCAGGACTTTGAGGTTCCGTGGTCAGCAAGTTACCATTGAGCTAGCCAATCGGTCAGAATCCGATAGTCTATATCTCCTACTTCTGTCAGTTCACAACATAGAATTAGCATAACCAATGTCATCATTGAGTATTTGTCCTCATGTCCACCAGGTTTGCCCCATCGGTGACGACTTCTCATTGGAACCTCAGGAATCACCTCCCGAAGCTAGTCACTAATGAGCACTAGATCAATTCAATTTGGGGATTTATGGGGATTTACTGATTTTAAGTTAGTATTCATAATGGATTGACATTAGTTAGAGGAACATTGGAAACCTGGAAGCACATAACTAAGACGAAATAGCTGTCCATTGCTGCCAGATTTCCAATGTTCCTTCAACTGATGTTAGTCCATGATTCATACCGACTTGAAATCATTAACTTTCGGATGACAACCGATTTCAATACTTGATTGGTCTATTGGTCTAAATTGTCGATTTTCAACCAATGGGTTATATGTACGAAACCCTGCCCCATTAACCAAGATTCAAACAGCCAGGTGCTGCTATACGCTCTTATACAATAGTTGAGGTTCTTTGCCTAGAGTACGAACCTGTGTATGATTGCTAAATTACATTTCACTGTGCTAATGTACAAGTTGTATAGACGACTATATGATTATAAAGCACTAACAACATTCATCTGCTCTTACTAACTAGATTGGGGTAATCTGATTACCGAATAGATGATATATTTATGTGATGCCGAGTTCATCAGTAGTGTTTCCAGAGTGATTTAACTCAAAGAGAGCTGAATCACTCAGAAAACTATAAGTCTGATCTATTACTCAAGCAGGCTTGTGAACATATACAACATTTTGACTTCTATAATGGCCATATGGACTTTGAATACTCTAAGAAAAGATTTGTTTCACATCCGCACATTCTTGGATAAAAATCTGAAGGATTTATTTCTCCTATCGTACAATCACTATATTTCTCTGCAAACTGTACAACAGTTAACCTTAAGTTTGTAATGAAAATGACTGGGAATTGTTTTTTCGGTGATTTTTTTAGACCTAAAGAAAACCTACCTCTCATATGTTACGTGGGAACTTATAAGTTAGTAAGACGTGTGGGAAACAAACTCCTAAAAAAAGGGAGGCAAAGAACTTTTATTGTATATTTCCCAAAATACTCGTTTCAAATTGGCAAGATTAGAAATACTTTACTGTAAAATATCCTTCTGCTGAAAATTCCCACAAGATTTCATTTTTGTAATCTGACATAATGTCATAGTAACTAAAAGTTTTACAAAAAAAAATTGTTACATCCTCTTTTCTTTATAAAACAGTCAGTTAAGCAGGTAGTCTATGATGAACTAGACAGTCAGTTACACTGATAATAGCAGTTATCTATATTCATTAAAATACTTTATACAAATTTGAACCTGTAAACGAATTAATGAAAGTATTGCACCTCTATTGGATTACCCCTCTGACATGATATTAGATTGTCTATTTGATATAGTGTAAGAAACAACAAGACTGAGACGCAGAACGGAATGTGCATAATGACATTTGTACAGTACTTATGAAATATTGTAAAGTTTTCATTAAAATAGTCATTTGCACAATGTGCTTTATTTCCTCTTCTACCTAGATTTGCTCTGCATACGCCTACATTGTCTGAGCAAAACATCCACTCATAGCCCATAATTGCTTATGACTTCTGCCAACCTATCAACATATACTACTTATATTGATTCTTATTCAGTAGCACCGACTACAATAGTACAGTGATACAACATTATTGAGTGGATGATGTTTCAATGTAGAATTTATTCTTCATATTCATATTAAAGCAATCATATAACTTTCAAAGTCAACAGTAGTTATGAATAAGGTGAATTACTTAAAGAAAGTCAATGAACATATCAAAATAGTGGTCAATTTTTACCTCTAAATTAATCTGATACTTAGCTTTCAGAGGTTTGTACGCTTGATTAATTGTCACAGAAGAGTGAAATTGCATCGCAATAATCAGAAATGAATCCCTGTTTCGATTTCAATGTTTTGATATTGCACCCACCCTGAATCAAAACTTTGGTAGAATTAGAAAACAAGATGTTTATCGGTGAGTACATAATCTCTTCTCAATGACTTTAGTATCAAGCTGTCCAATCGTGTTTATAATTGGAAAAATGTCAAATATTTACACTATAAAGTTCTTCAGTCAATATATATAGTGATAATGGCTGGAAGGGGGGCCGACGTCAAGTGAACAAAACTGAAAAAGAATGAATTGACTTCAGAATGTGAAATAAGAGTCAAAAGAGGTTAAGAAAAAAAGTGGAATAAAACTCACAAAAAGATTCAGTGATAAGGTCAAGGTAAAGAAAAAAAGCCTTGCAAAACGTTCTTAAATGTATAGCTAGTCGTTTAGCCATAGATAAGTGGTAGAAGAATGGATCTTTGCAGTAGCTCAACATAGCTCTGTAAATTACCTGAGAAGATGAATCATGAGGAGCATAGTAACCTGAATCTACCAGGTGTTGTTCTTAGCTCGCACTTGGCTAACAAAACTGGATAGTTTTCGGCAACGCGTTTGCCGAAGACCTACCTACAATGTTCAATCTAGTCAGCTCCATAGAAGTATGTGAACTTAGAAACATACACATGCATGCACACACACACACACACATATGGAGACATAAGTGACAACTTAACCTTCGCGTTCTACCAAATCAACTGAAAAATACCAACCGTACACTATCATAGTAGGAAGTACTTGTGATACACTTCACAGTCGGCTCTTCAATATTTTAGCTGTGATATATATCTCTTTTCAATTCGAAATTTTGTGAGAAACTTTAACTGAGTAGAAGGGATAATCAACTTTTTTGAGATTTATCCCTAAATCGAATGGAGTATCCAATATTTATTAGTGTTCTTCTGAGAACTTCAATTGTATCATCGACTATATCCTGTAAGCAGATTTTAGAAATCTAGAACAATGAATGAATGAATGAGATTTCTTTTCCTACCAAGAGGTACTCAACCCTCTGAATGACTAACAAGATGTGGTCATGAATACTCGTCAGAAGTAAGCAAATAGCATCAGAAAAGGAAATTAAGATAGGTGTCGGATACACAACTGATAAGAAATAACCCTTTTTATGGTTTACAAATTAAGAATAAAGCCTTAAAACAATAGAAAGCTAGGCAGTAAGTCCACTTTACAGAGCTGATGCTAAATGGAACAATTTTATCGATTCATAAATGCAAAAAAAGATACAAAAATTACAACAAATCAGAGATAAACGTTCAATCATGTACACGTATTCATCATTCCCAATAACGAAGTATTCATCAATAGTCAATTTTTTTAAAGGCATTAAATACTGTTCAATGGTACAGAAAACTTACCTCAAAGGATCTTTTAAATTCTCTCAAATGTTTGATACGAAAAAGGTAAAGTCCTTCACCACGTGGAGCTCGTCTACCTGTTTCCACTTTGAATAAACTATTCCCATAGAAACCAAAACGACGTAGTGTAACTAAAGGCCAGGACAGTCTTAAAGGTGGTGGCGGAAGACGAGGTTTTGTATTTTCAGGGCATCTGGAGACAAAATTTTAGAAGACCGAAATAAATAATAATAAAAAAAACCAGTTGCTAAATGAAAACTAAACGTTGGTAATAATATTTCTTTAAGTGAACAAAATGTTATTGGTAGGTAAATACAGTGATTCGAATATAACAAGTAAAAGAGAATGCTAAGATGTTGGACAGTTGGAACCATCCGGCATAAAGCCGTAAAACTAGGTTTTGTTTACTCACAGTCATCAACCGGAGATTCAATCATTAAGTTACCCAAGCCAAGATTAATCATTTTAGTGATAGATTAGGTACACAATTTAATCATCTGATGATGACTGATGTTATTGAGTCCCAAGTGCCGAAAAAAGGAGTTTGGATGCAGAAGAAACATGCACTTCGAATACTACTAGTATTCATAATAAAATAAATTATATTAAAATGTATCAGGTGCTAATATCCCAATCTGATCCGGTGAGAAGAACAACACGAAACTTTAAATATCAACATATAACAACTGATACCCGTTACACAAAGGGTGGTTCTTGTAACTTAGTAGTCTAGTGAATAATGCTCTGGCGTTTGAACCAGTGGACGAATTGTAAATAGAATAAAAACGCACATCTTAGATTCCATTACATCAGGTAACGTAATCTTCATTCAAACTAATCGAGGCTTTTTCAGTGTCAAGTGCATATGACTTATTCACAAAAATAATCTATCTATAAAAACCACTTTCAAAACATGTCCACATTTTCAAGGCATAGACTAACTAAAGAAAGTCATTATCTGCTGCATAGTCAATAAAAGTTAACAAAAGTGACCTTATCAAAAAAAAAGTTGAGTTCAGTTATAAACTGAATAATTTAATGATCAACAATTAATATGAGCACTTATTTGTCTACTGACCATTAAAATTTGTAATACAAACTATTTCACAGCTATAATAAAGAGACACATGAATCAAGTATAAAGTTATCGTAACTTTAAATATGTTGTCAGTTCGTCATATCATCTATCTAGTGAATAAAACTGTGAAAATGATGACTACCATTTATAGAAAAATAATTTCAAATATGAGGTGATGTACAACATAAAGGAAGAGATTTCACTTGCACACGGCAACAAAAACTTTGACAGTACCGTCTATTCTGAAGTCAAATCTCTGTTTTCTTTAGTATACATTCACGGAATACGTATTAAATTTCGCTTTCATGTGCTAGTGAAATTTGAACAGTGAAGAAATTACACGAGAGATAAATTATTCTGCTTTCTGACTCATTCACTCACTTATACACTCTTTTCTTCTCTCCAATACACAACATTAGTGAGACGTACATTGATCTTTTGAGGGAGTTCTGGGAATTTGTAAATATTTCAAGTAGTTATTAATCGTAGACTGACATCAGTTGGAGGAACAAAGGAAACCCAGGAGCATTGGACAGCTGTTTCGTCCTAGTATAGGACTCCTTAGCAGTGTGCAGTTCTAATGAGAAGTCATGACCGGTGGAGTCAAAGCCTGATGGTCATGAGGACAGTTACTCAACGATGACATTGGGTAGCGGTTGCGCTATATCGTGAGCTAACTGAAGTTGGAAATATGGACCATTGGATTCTGACTCAGTGGCTAGCTCAATGGTAACGTGCTGGCCAAGGAACCTGAAGGATGCGGGTTCGATCCCTGGCGAGGCGGGGTCATGGGTGCGCACTGCTAAGGAGTCCCATACCTGGAAGAAACAGCTGTCCAGTGCTCCAAGGTCTTCTTTGTTCCTCCAACTGATGTCAGTCTACGATGAATAACAACCTGAGGTACATTGATCTGCTCGGTTGTGCAAGATAGAGTATGTAGGATGAACGAATCTAGACATTCAAACACATACGGAAACAAAATCGTAAGACAGAGAATATAAATGTGTGAAATAGGCATTTTGTTTCCAGTGTGGACAGATAATAATAATAACAATATAGAATACAAAAGTCTTCCATCAAAAAAGGAGGAATCGTTTTTAGGTAGCTACTTATAATAGTATTTAAAGTGGAAGTCATTTTCTTACTCGCACTGTGTTTGCATGCGAACAAGGATAAAAATCTACTTGATTATAAATAGAAAACTGCCTTGATATTGTAGGCGGACAGCGTAAGCTACTTGTTTCGTTGCTTGTTTTAGTCAGCTGCTATCAGTATGTTGTTTACGTATACTGTTTAAAATAACTAAAAATGAAGATGGACAAAGTGGTTTTCTGAATACAAAAAAAAGACATAAGATAAATACTGAGACAAACTGGTCAATTCGTTTCAACGGGGAATTACGAGCATCGCATCGATAAGTAGTAAATGATACCCGTTGGATAACGCTCTGGTATTCCAAGCGATAAGTGCTGGGTTCGAGTCCCAGTGGGAACACTATCACCCACTGGGATGCAGGTATGTTCAGCAGATGAATGCAAAATAGAACAGCACTTGCATCTTGGATCCCCTTGCTGGCCATAAATACTAAAAACTAGCAAGTATTGAAGAATGAATTTAGTTCAGTTCTTGAAAGTCTTAGTAATACATACATCCACAACCTTTTTCATGCGTATAATCAAGAGTCTTGCAATAAATTTTGAAAAATCAACACAATCATCTGAACAACTAATAACATAGTAAAACTTGGAATAATAATCCCTTAAATTATGATCTCTGAAGAGATGCGTAACTAGTCATGAAGCTTCATACTCATAAGCATCAATGTTCTTTAAGACAATAGAGAGAGAAGCGATTGAGTGTAGTAAAGCCTTAACTTTCTTGAGAAGTTAAATCAGCAATGATGAGTTGACAACTGAATAAATTTCGGCATAGATCTCAAATGATCATTTGAATTTCACTAACTAACGCTAATTATACTCCCAGTGTGACATATGAATGTCTACTGCTGGTAACTCGCATTGTACGGAAGTACATTATTCCCCATATTGTGGATATCAGATATCGCTGTTTTAGGCAGAGAATATGAAAGTTATACGCAATCGATTATGATTTGCACATTTTGGATTCAATGTGACGGGGATGCAGAAGTTGGGTGAGGAATACTAGTTAAAAGAGGTATATCACCTAATGAAGACATTACGACTCATTACCTAAGGCCGCTGGATCATATGTTATATTTGCTCATTCATCTTCTGGTCTTTTCTTCTCTCCAATATACAACATTAGTGAGACGTATATTGATCTTGTGAGGGAGTTGTGAGGATTTGTAAATATTTCAAGTTGTTATTAATCGTAGACTGACATCAGTTGTAGGAACATTGGAAACCTAAGAGCACTGGACAGCTGTTTCGTCCTAGTACGGGACTCCTCAGCAGTGCGCACCCACGACCTCGCTGGGGTAGGCATACGTGAAGTCAGAACTCAGTTATAACTTTGATAAAGCTGGTAACATTAAGTAACGAAACGTCAGTTAAAGACAAACTTATTTTAGTTTACATTTATTAGTGAGTAAAAAATACCAAAATAATGAAAATCACCAACCCAGTGCCCAATTTTTTTTCAATTCAACTCACAGAATCAGTTTATCAGTTGTTTAACACATGCTGAACCTACTGAGGTTACCATCACTATTTATTCAACAGGTCATCTGAATCTTTTTTATGTCTCACGGAAACAATAAGAGCTTTTCAAGGTATCCCACTTTTTTGGATATTCTATGCAGTGGAACAGTATCATTTACTGAATGATGCTGCAAACATACACTGACATGAAATATGAATAATTAAATAATATTTGAAACATCATTTAGTAAATAACACTGTTTCACTGTGTGAAATATCCAAAAACAAGTTAACACAGAATTACACACTAATACAATGTCCAAGTCCTACTTTTACGTTAGTAGCAAGATATATTTTTGAAATTGTCTATGAAAAAACTAAGTATCTGTGTAGAAAAGCATTTAGCAGTAGAAAACGAAAAATTACCTCTTTGTTATTTCATATGGACTATCCATTTGAGAAACTGAGCACTTTTGTCCCATTTTTTCTGAATTCATTAAATGAGAAGAATTTTCAAAGGATGAAAAGGGTGGCAGTGAATTTTGATCTTGACTGCATATCTTCAAACTGTCTGAAAACCCAGCTTTGTAAGTACCTAATTTAAGTATATGAATAAAAAATATTTAACAATTGACATTCATGGATTTATTTAATGTGAGTAGAAAAATAGTACTGTATCTAGAATGATTCTTAGCAACTCTAGCTGCATGACAGTGAGCACTACTGATCTTTAAACGCAATATACGATTTCTTGACCAACTTAAAGTGGTGCACATTTAGCTGTTAATAATAACAGCAAAGATCAAACTTGATCGCTATATACCCTAACCCCAGCATTTGAAGAGTTAAACTGCTTTTTGAATTCCATTTGAACTAGTTCACTATCATAGTCAAAAATCAACAGCTTGGTAGTTACAATACTTTCAATCAATTAGGTTGTAGGTTTAAAACATCCTTTACTGACTGCAATCTACTATTAGATATTATTATCAGCTATCTTAGAATAGGTACGGTTGCCGGATTGCATTACAATACTGTCACAATACTAGTTGTGAAGGATTAGTTTGAAATAGGTTGACCAAAACATGACAGATGTTAATCACTCATAGACATTGAATGATGAATTTCCGACAATATACATGTTTATGGTGATTGCATTACGATTATTTGAATATGAATAGGTTCTCTTCTCAATCGGCTGCTCATGGGAAACTAGGGACTGATTCATTCCAGAATATATCCATAGTTCACCGTAGTTTAGCATTAGTGCATATATCGAATATGTCAAATAGCTTTCAGTTACCTATATTTCCAATTCAAGGAATACTATTTGCATATATGAAGTTCAAATAAAATAGCCACTTTAAAATAAATAACTTTATCTACCTACGTTGTGGTAATTAATTCAGGTGAGTGTTCGTCCTAAATTTACTCAATAGGTTGGGAAATTCAAAATCTATGCACATTCATACCATACTACAAGAATAATTAATATGTGTGGAGAAGAAAATCAGAGACAGAGTGTAGTAGTTAACCTTCAGACACAGGTCAAGATCGACACAACGACAAATCAAATAGTGAAGCTTTGGTACTTCATAGGTTTCTATAAACTTGATAGACCAGTGACCATATATATATATATATATATAGTAGCCAGTGAATTACAGGGTTTTAGCGCCCTACATAATTTCATACAACAGTGCATCGAACATATTCTTGGATGTGATCTGATAGAGTTGGGAAGTTTTGTAGCCTTCACAGTTGCATTTATGTTGGAATTTCAACAGCTTGATAGTATCTCGATACAGTAACAGTCAGAGTAGTATACGCTAGTCTATATTCTTTGTTGTACTATAGGCTATGTACGGAGAAATAATAAAGTAAGTGGGCACAATTTTATTGAATGCTGTAGAGGTATAATTACCAACTCTTCATTTTATCCTTGTATTCTTCAAAATACTGCTTGCATTTAGTGGTGAGACACTTGAAGTAATACATCACTGAGAAAGTGGATGCTGATTTTGACGAAACTATAAAATTTCGCCATTTTTAAACTGCTAGTTCAATGATCTTGAAATATCTGTCATAAATTCAAGCAAATAGGGATTTAACTGGAATTATTTAAAGATACATTTGACGAAACTAGGAATTATTTCGTATTCGGCCACCGCGTTTTATTTGCTAATTTTTTGACCTTTCCCAGGTGATCGTATTTCATAAAGTTTACGAAATCATGAACAAAAGGCTCACATAAAGTTTTTATCTTGGTGGTAAGTATCACAGCTCTAATTAATTCCAGGTAAGTCAGTAGTACCTACTAGGCGATAGAAGAGTAAGTAAACATCGAGTAGGTCCTCTTTATAGCGCTTTAAAACTTAGTTTTTCAGTTCCAGTTCGAGTAGGTCCAACATCGAGGATCTAATTGATTTCCATGTCAAATGCGTACTGGCGCTGAAAAAGCTGCGGAACACTTTTGGTACTGAGACTAAGTTTCACAAAAGAATGAAGCTACATTTATTCAGTTGCCGTGCATTTTATGAGATGTTTGGCTCCATAGATAGAGCAGTCTGATACATATTACTTATGTTATCATAAAAAAGTAGGCGTCAATGTTAAGGACGGAAAAGTAATAAAGCTCAAAGGATGAGATCTAATTTCCTTAAATGTTGATGTCATCGAACAGTGTAAGTTCCGCTACGACTAAAACCCCATATCTATCATGATAAAGGTTACACATAAACATTACATAGGAGCAATACCATGGGAAATTCCTAAAGGCAATAGAAAAAATGATATCCATATACGCTAAGATGTCATAAAGTAAATAAATTCGCCAATAATCAGTCTTACTGTGGACTGCTGAAGGAACACAATCAGCTGTTGACCCAAGCACTTGTTGATCAATAAGTAGAAATGGAATACGTGACCTTTTGTTTACAGCCTGAAAAACCAAATTTCCATGTTCTACAAACAAGCACCCACTAATACGACATCCTTCAAGTTCTGCATATTGAGCTGCACTTAAATTGTGAACATCCATGGTAGAGAAAAAATCCTCTCTCAAGGTAGACTGAATTTTTGAAGCATCGGAATGCCGAAGTAATGTTGCAACGTGTGACTTTGTTGAAGGACAAGAACGTTTCGGTAATGTGATTAGTGGAGATCCAAATGATTCGAAATCGCCTTCAGTTTCTGCACAATGTGACGGTAATGTAGATGATGTTCGGAAATCACCATGCAGACGAAGGTTCCTCATTTGATTTAAATATAATTTTCCAAGCCAAATACCACAGAGCTCCGCAGGATGGTGATTTTCCAAACCCGAAGTATGAATTACGTCTTTTGTGCAAACATCGTTATAAGCAGATCCACAGAAGCGACAGTGTCGAGTTTCTGAATTCTTCTGAAGAACGGAATAACCTCCAGGAGCATCTATTAACGAATGTATGGCGCCCATCAAGAGTTATCTTGAGAGAAACCTGGCTGGAAGTGAAGATAAAATTAATATTACTTATGTACATCTTTTACCTACACATAACAGTGAACTTAAGAAATCCGTTATAAACTCACATTACTTCGCAATTCACTGTATTTTTCCCTTCGGATCAAATGAATAATAATTTGTGAGGGGTTGTAATAGATATTTTATTCCAGCTATCTTTCACTGAAGACAAAGTTGCGTCATACGTTAACTAAGATGGAAGGGTAAATCATCCTACTATACCTAGTTAAATTACGAGGACAGCCGTCGTATGACCGGTAGCCGACGGTCTTTACCATTCATAAAAAGACGAAAGTTATCAACAAAGTATAATGTGCTAGTAAAAATAAAAGTAATAACATGATCACGTAACTAGATAGCAATCACTAACTGAGATGTAGGTCACAGTTTACGGTGTTTAAGCTAAGGGACAATCGCACTGTCGAAGCCCAAACAACTGGAGAGATTGTTAGCAAGAAAAAATTCAGTGAGTTGGGAATTATATGCGTGAACCTCTAACTTAACGAAGTAATTATGAATTCATACGCATTCCTAAAACATATTTCAAGCAGTCTTACCTAAAATCTGGTTTTTATTGGCTTTTGGTTGTCTTGTAGAACCTATCAAGGAACTATACCGTTACCTACATGACTTAAAAGGGTTATCAGATTTCATCAACAAACAACCTTTGCTGATTTGACAGCTCTGAGATTTTTATCACCGGGATGTGCCATATTAGCTTAAGCACTCGACTTTTAAGTGACCGGTTCAAGTCCCACCTCACCTACTTTGGACTGGGTGAGAAATATCATTGCAAACCAACAAACTAATGAACCGATTAGCGCTATTTAGCTAGTTATCTACATACGGTCTCAAGACTGTTGGATTCGTTAGTATCACAAGTGAGTAATCAACAACCCACCAGCTGTTATACACATAAGAGCAAAATACCCAGTGATCAAGTATCAGTCGCATGAGACGAAATGAAATAGCACGATATACTAGAACTTTAAAAGGCAAGCGAGTATTCTACTTACATTACACAGTGCATTAACCAGTGTTATAAAAACCTGATCTTCTACCAAGATTTTATCTTTTACCAGCTCATAAGAGGATGATACAAAAACAAAAAGGTCAAAGCAATTTATTTCTAGACTAGATAAAGCTTTCTTTGTGCACTTAAAAAACATGTTTGGTATGAAATGGATACTAAGAAATGATCGCTTAGAATGGTATTATGAAGACATAAAAGGAAAGGATAGAGAACGACCATATGATCATAGCAGTCTCATAAGATGCATTCAAAGTGTCGATTACTTTTGCGTTACTTTTCACCAGAATAAGACAAAGGAAAGCTACAGAACGACCATTGATGGTTTGAATTCTGAGCTAATCTGGGTTGGATGGTCCATTAAATATCACTCACCCCAAAGAGTTCAACTACCATTGAAACATAGGCCACGTATCGTCAAACCACCACGTCATGATAATAGAATTTAGGCGTAAACTTCTAGGTCAAAGAGGTGTGTCAGTTGATGAGATTGTGAACCTTCATCGACTCAGTTGAGATATTTACGCATGTCCTGTTACCATTTACTTTATCGTGCAATACTAACTGAAGTGGTTTCAAGCAAGATAAAAGACACAGACGGATAGAATCAAAGGTGACATCAGTTCATGGGGTTTTTGACTGATGTCTGAGCCCGCACAAGGAAATATAGAATTCCCGCTTGGAGTTTGCATGATAGCTGAAATCGATGGTTGGAGACCAGGTGATGTAGTTCAGAATCGATCTCAGTAGCACAAATGCATTCCCACGTCATCTTAGTCAGTAACCTATTTCATTTCTTGCCCCTTCTTCTTGACGTGTGGCTTTGTACTCTTTTTGATCACTTTTTCCCTTATTTCTGCATTCCTTTTACACTGATGTGCTAATGTATCGGGTCGCAACTTGGACTGTTACATAATGATGTGAGGTCTAATATTGGTGTTTGTTGGCTGGCTGCATCACCCACGGTGTCAAGAGGTACATGACTTCACTCTAGTCCAGTCAACTACTCAATCAGCCTACACAAAATTTTTGACTTCAGTTCGGGTACTTATTAGCCACAAGCCACCTACGCCGGTGTAATCACAGAAACAAACTGCAATCAATGCACCTTCATCTGTAAAGAAGCCATTTATCGAAAACATACATTGATGACGCAGCCTTAACGTTTGGAAACAGGCTGAAAACCAACTACACAGGAACGACCAACGCCAAAAGTTGACTGGAATGACTGAGACAATTTAGTAGATCTTTAGAGAAAGATTAAACAGCATACACACTGATCCAGAATAGTGCACTACAAAATCATGAAGATCATGTTGGGGAACTTTTCGTCAAGGTTAGGTAAGTCTTAGGAGGTCAGATGACAGTGCTGAAGGGAAATTTCAAGAAACTCAAATAAGACGCACTGCTTTTCGGGTAACCAAAGTGCATACTTCCCCAAAGCAGTGCGTTCTATGAAATTCTATCAGTTCTCTGAAAGTGAGCTTGGCTTCTCTAAAACGGGTTACTTTTTGGTATTTCTGAATACGATTCACGTAGTTAACCGTAAACAACACAGAAACATCTGTACATTATACCACCTTGCAACTATTGCCTACACAAGCCACCCTCACTAGGCAGATTTGCAATAGGGAAATTCTACAACCGTTACGGCCTCACTTGCTTATTCCTTGTAGTCAATGCATCTTTGGATTTATTTACAACCCAAATCATTATCACAAGACAGAATACATGATTATTCATAGAGAAACGAATTGAAGACGATATTTCTTCACAACCTTTGTAGTTTAACTTTGACTCACGATTACCATCTACACGGAAGATGTCGATGGATAAGCTGTTGAAAGGTAAAATTTCCCTTCTTTAGAGGAAACTATCTTGTATCATAGGTATTCATATGATTTACAATCAGACAGACAAATATTCGTAAGCTTAATTCCATAAGGTGTATTTAGGTCACTTTGTCGGTATTCGGTCAACAGCGAAAGTGATTCCTACACCGCTGAGTGCAATTCCAAAGAGAGGAAGTATGAGAAACAACCACGTGAGCCGGAGCTCAGTAGGCACACCAAAACGCAATTACACACAGCTTTTAAATATGGTACTCTAAAAAGACTAACAGACCCTATACAGCTCCCTGTCAAGAAAGCACTATCTTCATTGCGACCAAATAAGAGGTGAGTTTGAGAGTTAGTGAGTCGTCACCAGTGGAGATCCGATAGATGAGTTGATTTGGAGTATACGCCACTGGGTGAAACTGCTAGTATAGGCTACTGGAGTGTGTAACATCGGTGCACGTAATTCATGAAGGAAAGATATGGTATACCTGCAGGATGGTCTGGTCTTCTGGTTCTTATTCGCTGAACAATTCAAATATTTTTTGATATCAGGTAATTTCAGTTACTGACTGCTAACAATGTTAGCAACAACTGTAATACTTCATCTTCGAATCATGGCGTTACTGATCTTCCAGTTTACAACTCCGACTACACCCCTTCTCCTGGAAGCTATGTTTGGGGAGACAAAGTATTACAATTATTAGAAGTTAAATTAAGTGATATTGGGACGGTTCTTTGTCTCATTACAACACATCATTACTCTGTTTGCCCGGATGGTGCTGCAGATGAATTCCGTAATGCGTCATCGGAGTCCTGTACAGCTTATTTCTTTTGATTTAACTAACTTTCGTAATATTGATGATCAGCACTCAACACCTCTTTAGTTTGCTACCAGATACAGTAGATAGGCTACTGCAGAACTGCTTCCACAGTACAAGGCTGATGTTCATGCTATAGACAAAGATGGTTTAAAACCTTTGCATAATGCTTGTTTCTATGGTTATACTAAGGTTGCAGAACTCATCCAATATGAAGGGAATGCTAATGTTACAGACTTTCGGTGATTCATTCCTCCACATGAAGCTGTGGCCAAAGAGAAGTTTAAAATTTGTCGATTGCTGCACAGACAGAGGTGATCCATTGAAAAAAAAGCGTGACGGCTGTACTCTCATAGACTTGACTGACGATACGGAGTGGTTTATGACCTGTTACCAAGTTATTTTTTTTGTCTTGGAAGCGGCTAAGAAAGGAAGCTTGGCTAAGACAATGCACCTATTGACCTCAAAGAATATCAACTGTTACGATACGCAAGGAAGAAATTAAGTTACATTTAGCTACAGGTTATGATTTTCAGGTTTCAGAATTCTTACTGGAAGCAGGCGCTGATGTAAATGCTAAAGATAAACAGGGTTTAACTCCACCACACTACACTATTTCACGTGGTAACGTCGACGTATGGAACTTGTTACTGTGGTAGATAAAAAGGATTATACTTCATTATATGAATCTACTTAAAGAGGACGAACACAAATGTATGTTCTTTTACTAGTCTGTGGAGCAGATCCGAAAACAGGAAACCAATAAGATCAAACACAAATCAATTTAGCATCGGTGAATGATGTAATGTTATTACAATTGGATGCTATGTTTCACACATCCGCTTGCATTGTAAGTCTGTAAAAGGAAGTTTTGTTTCATCTTTGTCCGTTTCTGCTACTTTCCCCACTACAAATTTAGACTTAACTTAATCTCAACAGACATCGTTCAGTAACTTACTGTCAGTCATGTTAATTGGTTGACGAATTCAGTATCGAGGTGGTGGGTCTGTTGTACCTGGACCAAGTGTTCCTACTATTAATACCCTGAACACGACACATCCACAGAACATGACTTTAGTTCGGCCAAATAAACCAAGTTATTTTGCTGAGATAAACAAATAACTAGCAGTTTTTCCATACCGCTTGGTTTCAAACTTCAAACTTCGTGTTGTAGAATTAGAGAAATTTTTGGGACAGTTAGTAGAATTATTTGATAAGCTAGTAACAGTGAATATTCTCCACGAGATTGACTGTAGTAAGCAGAAGGAA